CCAAGTGTCAGGGACAGAAAAAGTAAGAGTCAGTGACATTTACTGAGTGTAGCCTTAGGCACAACTGCAAACATGTTTCATTTATATCGTTTATACTGTTTAGCTTATATCACATCACTTTCATGATGGTCCACTTACTATGTTTTGCACCCAGTTCATGGAAAAGTGAAAGTAACACAAAGGAATTCTCTAGTCCAAAGTAGCTCAGTGCAGTCTAAGACACCAGACTACCTGCCCCCCGCCAGCTCACGCCAGCTCACACCAGCTCACTGAATGTACTCTGAGAAGTAAATGGTGAACAAGTGGTTGAGAATCCAAAAACTAGAGCCTTGGAGATAGGGAGACTCACAGAAGTGATGCAGCTCCTTCCCCTCACGTCTAAGGAACCTGGACAGATGGGGCAGCATCCCGTATCTGTGCGGTTCGAGCTTCCAGCTCCCTGCTAACATACCAGGGAAAGCAGTGAAAGATGTCGCAGTGTCTAGTCCTCTTCTAGCCACGCACGAGACCTGGCTGGAGTTCTGGGCTCCGGATTCAGTGTGGTCCCGTCCTGGCAGTCACTGCCATCTGGGCAGTGAACTAGTGGAAGATGCCTGTCTGTATCTCTACAACTTTCAATAAAATAGATAAAAGGAAAATGGACAGATCTGAAGAAAGTAAGAGTTAGTTTGAGTAATTTTGTAATTTATACCCATCAAGGACTAAAATGAGTACTAATACAAATATATCACCCAAAGCCTAGGATAAAGGAAACAAATATTTGCAACTTAAAAATAAGCAAGTGGGGAAAAAAAACCATTATTCTAACACACTGTCTCAAGAAAAGAAACAGGTTAGGGATAATCACACTGCTCAAAGTAGAGGGAGGAGATGACAGATTTTGCTGTCAAAATTACAACAGATTTGGGCCCAGTGCAACCATTCATTTCGCTAACTGCAAGTGCTGGGATCACAAACACATGCTGATTCCCATCCAGCTCCCTGCCTGTGGCCTGGGAAAGCAGTGCAAGACGGCCCAAAGCCTGTGGCCTGGGAAAGCAGTGCAAGACGGCCCAAAGCCTGTGGCCTGGGAAAGCAGTGCAAGACGGCCCAAAGCCTTGGGACCCTGCACCCGCGTGGGAGACCAGGAAAAAGCTCCTGTGTCTCCTGGCTTTGGATCAGCTTGGCTCTGGACGCTGCAGCCACTAGGGGAGTAAACCAGCAGATGGAAATTCTTTCTGTCCCTGTCTCTCTCTGTAAATCTTTCTAATAAAACTAAATAAACCTTTAAAAATTAGGTTGTTGTATCTAAAACTACAGGGAAACTAAAGAAATATATGCTAGAGAGTTATTTTTACCTCTAAATTATGCTCCATAAAAACACCTCCTCTTCTAATATCTCCTGTCTTAATAAATATCATCATATCCTCCCCAAGTCACCAAATTGGAAAACTGGGAATCAGCCAAAATGAGTATTTCTTGCTCAAATTCTGCACAAAATATCACAAATTAACTTTCGGGTCTCATAATCTCTCCCAAAGAGTTGGCGTTATCGATCACAGGCTCCCACCTGACATAACACAACTTGCTCCTTGTTCTGACCTCACTACATGCAATTCATTCTCTAAGCAGATATCAGAAAATTGACGTCATTCACCTACTAGTAAGCCACTTAGAGTATGCCCAACACCCACAGAACAAATTCCAAACCTTCTTACAATGTGATACCAGGATCTGCCCATCTCTGATGTAGATCAATTTTCCCCAAGCACTCCACACTTAAACAATTACAAAACATACAGTTTTCTGAAACATCTGTATGTTGATTTGCACCTCCAATCCCCTGCTAGCAGTATGTCTCATTCCCTATATCAGGTTATTGAAATAATTTTCCTAGGTCAGCTAAAGATTCTGCCTTTCCAGTAACTTCTATGACTTGCCCTGGAAATGCTGTTTTTTCCTTCTGGTTCCTCAAAGCACTTATAATATTTATCAGCAATTTGTCTGCTGGCTTGTCTTATCTCCCATAAAACCTAGAGCCCCTTATTCAGGAGACATTCTATTAGCAGGACCAGGAAAACACCAACCACACATGATCATTTCCAGTGTCAACTGACACAATAATCCTAAGAACTAGGCAGGGGAAATGCTAACTTCATTAAACAGGTTAAAAAAAAGGAGCTCAGAAAGTTAAAGTGACTTGTAGCCAAAATAGGTTGAGTAAAAGCTGTTCCTTCCAATAAATCATGCTGTTCCCCAAGCTGCTCAAGGCACAAACAGAGCTGTACCAATGCTCCACAGATGAACAGCACTAACCAACTGAACAGGGATATGGAAATTAGTTAGCTGGTGCTGAAACTAGACATTAATGTGCAAACAAACAGGGACTTATTTGAGCTAAGTGGTCATGAATATGCAAATGTACTGGCTGCAATTCAGTAGATGTCATCACAATTCTAGGAATGAACATCCTATATTATGACTATTACAATATTCATGGAGCATTCATAATGCTATCATATATTACTATAATATGTGCTTTTCAAGTTTCAACTTGAGGAGAAGCCAAAAAACTGACGTATCTTTTCACCCACACCCAAACTGGAAGTTGGAAATCAGGTGTGTGCACACAGAACTTGGGAATCTCCAAATAGGAGTAATGTGCCGTCACAGCGGCAGCTCAGTCTGCACACTTGAAATCTGACCCACGAAACTTTAGACACAGGTTGGCGCTTGGGAAGAGATTTGGCCCTTGCCAACAATTCCAGCCTCATCTACCATGAACACTCTAATACAGCCTGATGCTATGACAATTACACTGATAATTGAGCTGCTCTTCCTACAAGAATGTCAACAGAGCTGCCCAGCTGTAACACCTGATCATTCAAAAGACGCATCATGTGAGGACAGTCAGTTTTTGCTTAAGCAGCAAAGTGCATTGCCCTATCATCATGAGTGCACCATCAGCTCCTACTAGTTCCTGATGCCCTATTGTTAAGGTGAACGAATGGCCAACCCAGCTACCTAAGCTGTGGCTCCTTTCTATCATTTCTGTTTCCTGAAAGTGGTAGACTATACTCAGCACAACTGTGTGTAAGTGCAGTAAGTTAATACCTAAAAATATTTAATAGCAAATGTGTATCTGATTCATATTCTGAAACTCTCATTATGAGAGGTATTTATTGATTCTGCAGCCAATTTCTGAAATGTCTAACTCTTAATTCTTGCCAAGTTTCCCTTCATGTTCTGTAATTGAACTTATCGCTTAAACAATTACAGAAGCCTCTGCCTTTTGCAACACCTGCATACACTGCCCGCCTGTACATCTCTCACAATGTGTATCGTGCTGTTTATACTATGAACTAATTTTGCTATCAGCAGCATTGGATATAAGAGAATTGAAATACCAGAAACTTAAAACAGAATGTATTCCTGTTTTATACAAGCTGGCATGGGACAGCACCTTGGACAAGGAAGGCATCGGAAGGGGAAAGTTCTCAGATTACAGTGATTCTTCCATTTACATCTTCACAGAGCAAGACTTTGCTGTAAACTTCCGTGGATTTTTTTCAAAAATGTTTTTCCAATTACATACAGGTTTGTATCGAGCCAGGGAGTTCAAAGAAAGACTTCTACTTAATAAAATTTATATACAACATAACTGCACTACAGAATTGTACCATAAAATTCAAAATTGAAAATTAAAGTTAAAAATATATAATTGCATAGAACAACATATGGCTGTACACCCGCCCTTCTTTTCCCACTTCGGAAGACTGAGTGGCTCCGTTCTCTTCAGGGGCCTCCCACATAGCAGCGATGGCTGTATTGTCCTGTGGAGCGGAACTATCCTCCTTCCATTGGTACTGTGCCAAGCAGACTTAACACAGTTACTGCAGGAAGTACTGTGGAAAGCACAGGAAATAAGTGTACTTTTGGAAAAACGAAAACAAAACGAGTGCAGATCCCCAGCACAGGTTGGCAAGTCCTCAGCAAGAGAACAGCAGAGATGTGATTGGAGCATGTGGCAAAGGGCCCATCCCAGGGCAGGGTGTCTGTAGTGAATGAGGGAGCTCATCAGAGTGACAATCAAATTAAGCTTGATAAAGTGAATGGAATTTAACCCCACAAACCAAAGGTGTCAATCTAACGTAGACACGGTCCTATAGGCACAGGCAGCATCAGATCCTCTCCTAAACACTGCGTAGTTTCTCTCACCCAACTGTCACAATAACCTCAAGAGGTGGGTTACTATTTTTATCCCAATTTAAACACAAGGGGAAGAGTCACAGAGGGTACCTAACTTGCCCAAGATTACAAAACAAAGTGCTGGGGAGCTGGATGTTTGAATGCGGGCAGCCTGTGCCCAGAACCTCTCCCTCTGCATCACCGTGCAATATTTCTCTCAAGGGATTACAGAGGATTCGCAGGAAACTAGGAATGTTCCACATGGAAACAGCACACAGAACTCACTATTCTAGCTTTCTAACAAGAATCCAGTACGAGTCATACGTCATGCTGACCAATCGTGCCTGATTTTCAGTGAGTTACTGGTTGTGCTACAGTCCCACTGGTGGCATAGTCTAAAGTTTCCATCAAGGCTGCACAGTGTGTGGCTAGTAGAGCAAGCTGTGCATGCGCAGGGTCACAGGTATTAGGTGGTCTTTGTAATTTCCACCTAATTATACTGTGGCTCTAAAAAACAATGTTCATTAATTTAAAATACTTAAGTTTCAACCAAAAAAAAAAAAAAAAAGGAAGAAGAAAACTTTTGTCACCTAAAGGTATTTAGACCACCCTACTTTAAAACACCATTTTTCCTTTAAATAATGACAAAAGTTGCATTTGTCCTTTTTCAAATATCAGCTTCTCTTGCCATATTCCAGGCTTTATAACAGATAACCATTATAAGCAATAGTGGGTGGCTGTAACTAGAAAGCATTTATGAATGCAGGTCACACACACACAGGATTTCAGTATTCTAGATCTTCCACCTGCACACGTGCATCTCCCACACCAACCTTGAAGTTCTCCACTGCGACTGTACAGCTCCCTTCTCTGTTCTCGCAAGTAGGCGCTCATGCTGATGGCGTGGGAGGAGGACTCAAACCTGTGCAGGAACCCAGACAGGCAAACAACGGTTAGCTAGTGTCCAGCTACAGATCACAAGGCAAGCTCTGCTCTACACGCCACTCCCTGATATTCCATACCCGAGACAGGGGCAGCAGCTACAACCCCTAGTTCATGAACCACACTCTTAGCCAAATTTCCCCGTCACCGCATCTGGATATGTTGCTCATTTTGCACTTCAACAGGGACAAGCCTGATCTGCCGAAACTGCCTTGGCTATTAGACCACCTGCCTGTCTATACAGCAGGATGCCGATCTACGCAGCAGCAGAAGCTTCCTACCAAGTCACTCTAGGGGCGCTTGGTGTCAGAAAGCCCCCAGGTACCACTGGCAAAGACGGGTTCACCAGAGCACCACGCTCCCCATGTCAGTCCCCCAGTTAAAGCCGCAGTTTCAAACGGTGGATTAGGAATGCCACTGAATTATGACATCGAAGTAAGAAATCCAAGGTCTCTAAAAAAACAGCATCTTTTCTAAATGACCATTAGATTTTTTTTTAAAGATTTATTTGTTTTTTCATTGCAAAGTCAGATATATAGAGAAAGGAAGAGAGACAGAGAGGAAGATCTTCCGTCCAATGATTTACTCCCCAAGTGGCAGCAACGGCCAGTGCTGCGCCAATCCGAAGCCAGGAGCCAGGAGCTTCTTCCAGGTCTCCCACGTGGGTGCAGGGTCCCAAGGCTTTGGGCCGTCCTCGACTGCTTTCCCAGGCCACAAGCAGGAAGCTAGATGTGAAGCCGGGCCACCGGGATTATAACTGGTCCATACGGGGGATCCTGGTGCATTCAGGGTGAGGGCTTTAGCCGCTAGACCATGCTATTGCGCCGGGTCCAGCCTCAAAGCATTTAAATTGGTACTTGCAATTATCCTCTGAGCAAAACTAGTTAAAAAGGAATAAACTTAATAAACACAATGGATTTCATTCCAGCCAGGATCACTCTCTATTAGATCACAAGATAAAGCAAGTATGGAAATTTCTGCTAATTACTAACTATACAATGAATCCGAAATGACAATGAATCTCAAGTGAATCAAAAGTGTAAGAGCCTTCAACTAGCGCTTGGTGCAATGGCCCAGGGGCTGAATCCTCGCCTTGCTCTGCCAGGATCCAAAACAGATGCTAGTTTATGTTCCAGGTGCTCCACTTCCCTTCCAGCTCCCCGCTGTGGCCTGGGAAGCCACAGTGGATGATGGCCCTAGGCCTTGGGACCTTGTATCAACGTAAAAGACATGCAAGAGGCCCCTTGTTTGGATCCGCTCACCTCTGGCCGTTGTGGATCAATAATTGGAGGATATTTCTGTAAATCTGCCTTGCCATAAGAATGAATAAATTTTAAAAAAACAAACAAAAAAGGTTGAATCCTGCTTCTCCTACTTCTCAGCTATGTGATTTGTATATATTACTTAACCTCTCTGCATCTCAATTTTTTATATGCACAAGCAAATAAAAACTGAAATCCTTGCACATCAGGTTGCAGAAATGAGTAAATGTGATAATCCATGAAAACCGCTTACATCGGGCTCGCAAGGACTCGGCAGACACGGCTTACTGCCGCAGTTGCTGCACTCTGGTAGGGAACATGGTTATGTTTGTGAATATTTTCAGATACTTACCCAGTCCACCCGCTGGGACTGGAAAGCACTCAATAGTTGTTCATAATTACCAAGAGATAGACACTTCAAGCATGTGTCCTAGCTGGGTTAACTAGGACTGTATTTAGGGGGAAAAAAATGCAGACCTTTCTTTAACATCTCAACACAGCCAAAGTGGAAGACTTGCTTGCCAACATTAACAAAGCTTTCTTCACATCACTTGGAGATATTTCAAAGCTAACAGTACATTTTCCTTCATTTGCATAAGATTTCCCTTCAAACTGGGGAGTTTCACTCTATTAATTTTTGTATATAGCTCTATATAGTCCTTAGACAGTCCTTAACCAATATTTCAAAGCAGACACTTCGCCTTACAGAAAATAAAAGTAAACAAATCAAATGGCTATTTACTGTGTAGAAACCTCCTCGACTTTAGCCAGAATACGTGCTGTCCATGGAGCAGCAAGGCATCTCCTTGGGCCCAACACTTCCTACCACCTGCTAGCTCATACCAGAAGGAACCACACTTACTTGAAAAGAGAATTTTTTGGCCTTTGAGGTTTCTTCTTAGCAAAAAAGGAGGCAAGTTCTCGTCCAGTACTGGCATAGCTCAGCTGGGCTGATGGTTCCGAGGCGGTGCGAGTATTTTTCATATCCAAATACTCTGTCAATAGCATCTGCAGAGCAGATAAATAGCTCAATATATACATTCTAAAGTGTTAATAAGAAAAACAATTCCATATTAATGCAAATTTAAATCTAAAACCATATCCACAGAATTCAGAAGCACATGAGGAAACAACAAAAATTTCATGAAAATTAAAAGATCATTTTATTTCAATGCAAGATTTTTTTTGAAAAAAATCTTAGTTTTTTCATAATGTGCACTTCCCCCCAATTTTTTTTATACCTTCCATGTGCATGGATTTCCAACTTTTATTGCACCAATGAAATCTAACTTTCAATTCTATTTTCCTAGAAGTTTTTGAATTATCCTTGTATTAAACTGCCCTTTCATTTTTCTAGTTGAAGATTTGAAAGAGGCTCCTTATAGTCAGACTCATTTATTTACCTGTGATATTTAGGGAACAGGGTATGTTGAATATTTAAACTCAGGAAATAAAGAGCATTTCATGGGTATCTATCACGAACCAGGCATCATGGTGAGTGAGTCAATCAAATTTTTTCTTCAACTATAACTCAGTTTCTCATTAGTCTGAACTACAGCAGCCCTGGGAGCACAGCCTTTTGAATTATGACCACACAATATGCACAAACAGAGCTCTGAATCACGCAGATGCATTTTCTCATTTCAAGCACAAAATTTTATACGGGAAATCTCAAGACTACTGATCAGATGGTGTCCAAGAGCTGGGAGGTGACCCGTGACAGTCAAGAGGCCAAGGACACAGACCCACCAAGAACTTCAGGACCACTACCTATGTTTAATGCTTCAAAGCAAGAAACAAAACTGTTTTGTGATCTACTGCTGCCAAGAGATCCTGCCTTTAAAATCAATCCATGTTAGAGTCAAATGGTTTAGGTTGGTGCAAGAATTAACTACACTATCCTTTCCAAGATCAATATTCTAACAAATTTACCCAACATACAAGAAAACATTACATTGGCCACAAAATTCACTGTGACTCTGAGAATATACAGCTCAAGACTGAAATGCACTAAGTCATCTCTAATAAACATTCACTGAATTCAAAATGCATTAAAAGACACAGCCAGTATTGTACAGGTAAATAAACTCAATCAGGACTCCAAGAAAAACATCTCACACATTCAAAGTTGTAGTCATTCCTTCATTAAGATATGAACGTCACTTTCAGCACTATGATCAAGAAGCATCACGTGAACTTGATACAGTGCCAGGTATATTTTAAAGACAAGGATGTCTTTATAATAAGCACACAAGCACTCTCTGGACTGTAACCTGGCAAGCAGCAGTAACGTCTCCAACAGTCAAGTTCCGGCCACAGAGGGAAGCTGAACTGGAGTTTCCACACCCCGCTTTGGGTTTTTTCTCAGCCAAGCCCACTCCAATGTTGGTATTAGGGGAGAGGCACAGCAAATGGAAATTCTACCTGTTTATTGATCTTTCTGCCTATGTGTGTCTTTCTGCCTCTCCAGTACATAAAAAACCAATAATTTTTAAAAAGAACGGACATGTGGGTGGCAGTAAATATTTTATTGGTTATTTCTATACAATAAAGACTCTACTGGCAAAGACTAAACCCATTAACGGGCTGGTCAATCCCCAAGCCTGTGTATGAAGTCATCGTGGTATTATCTAGCATGCTGATGAACTACTACAATGGCAAACATTGCCTCAGTTAATGAAGCATCCACAGGTGAGAACCCTGAAATGCACCACCCACACTGTGCTAACAACTTGACTAAGGGGATGCTTATACTGTAGATTCAACACTGCTGTCAAGATTTTCAAAAAACACAGAAAGGAATCTCAACGTGTTATAACATAGAATGGTATCTACAAGACATTAATATAACCAAACATTTCTCGAATAAGACACCAGAAACACAGGAAATAAAAGAAAAAATAGACAACTGGGAATACACCAAACTAAGAAGTGATACAAGGAAACAGCCAATAAAGTAGGGGATAAACTGACAGAATGGAGCACCATATTGTGATGCAAATTATACAGATAAGCCATTAATAGCTAGGATGTATCAAGCAGCTCAGCTATAACCTAGCCATCCCACTCCTGGGAATTTATCCAAACAAAATGCAATCAGCACAAGACAGTTATTTCACAATATCTAAGAAATGGAATGGGGGGGGGGGTCAGCAAGTGATGCAGCAGCACGCTATTCCTCCACCTATGGTGTTGGCACCAGATGAACGCCAGTTTGTGTCCCGGCTGGATCACTTTCCATCCAGCTCTGCTTCTGGCCTGTGAAAGCAGCTTGGGGCCTGCAGCTGTGAGGGAGACCCAGAAGTACCTGACTAAACATTTGGAACAGCTCAGCTCTGGCTGCTGCTGCCATTAGGGCCACGAACCAACTCTTTCTCTCCCTCTCTCTGTAAAATCTGCTTTTAAAAGTAATTTTAAAAAGAAATGGAATCAACTCAGATACTCATCAACAAATGTCCAGAGAAAGAAAATGTGTTACATATACATTATAGACTACTACCTAACCATAAAAAATACAAAACCTTGTCTAACTGGGTGCAACTGGAAACCACTACTTATAGCGAAATTAGCAAGTCCAAAAAAGACATGTAAGATGTTTTCCCTATTCTGTGACAAGAGAATACAAACAACGTAATCATAGGAATGAGAGTGACACTCTAGGACATGATCGTTATGGACAGCACTTGTTTATACTCCTGAGTTACAGATTTTTGATATTTTGGGTTGCTTATTTTTCTGTTATTATTTTCTACTTTCCATTTGTTGATACCATTACCTACAGAAGTGTTAAACATGTGGGAAAAAGTAAATATATGCAATAATCCCAAATGGCTTAAGGATATGAATAGGGAGTTTTCAAAGATGAAAAGCAAATGGCCAAGAGACATAGGAAAAGATGCCCGGGAGCACTAGTTAGAAGGAGACAAACATCACAACATCTCACCCTAGTAAGATGGCTTCATCCAGAAATTCAAAGAACTTACACAGTGACAGATGCAGGTGAGGATGTAGGGGGAAAGGTACCCTAATACACTGTTGGTGAAGTACATGAACCAGCACAACCATTATGGAAGACCGTATAGACATTCATCACAAATCTGAAAATAGATGTACCACACACTCTAGCCTGAGTACATTCCCAGGAGTGAAGCCTGCATATGAAAGTGTTATCTGTAACCCCTTGTTTATAACAGTTCAGCTCACACAAGCTAAAACAGGGAATCAACCCATCAACTGATGACTGGATAAAGAAACTATGACATACATACACTACGGAATACTTACTCCTTGGTCATTAAAAACAAAAAAAGTCCTGTCTTTAATAATAAAACGAAAGCAACTGGAGACCATGACGCTTAGGGAAATAAACCAGTCCCCAAAAGACACACAGCATGTTTTCCCTGACGTGTGGTAAAATACAGAGTACCAAAACAATCTAATACTTCTGAGTGACACCCATAGTTTAAGATTTGGTTACTGTTTTAATCCTTGTCTATTCTCTTGATGAAGAGAGGGTCTACTTCTAATTGCTGAATTTCTTAGAGCTCAGGATTAAACTTATGATTAAATTATTAAAGAATATTGAAATGATTTTAAAGTTAAAATTAAAATAAATAGCAAAGCAGAAGAGAATGAAGGAAGGAAGAAGAATATGGTGTTAAGTATTAATATATTCTTAAAACTGTACATGAGAAATTTCAAAAAGTCCAAAAATCAAAGGGTTAAGAAAGAAGGTTTGAGGGAGGAAAGGACAGAGGCAAGTATGTTTACCTGTTTAGAACTGTGTCTATGAAATACATAAATTTGTTCTCTTTGCATCAATAAAAACTAAAAAAAAAAAAAAAACAGAAAGTACTCTTTCGCTTAAGTGTTGGTTTTAAGAAACACGACAGAGAGATGTTCTAACCAAAATGTGAAGATAACAAACCAAGGTTTTTTTTGAGATACTGTCCAAAGGCAACAATTGCCCTGGTATGATAAAGCATTAACTGACAGGGCCAAGTAACCAGCATCTTCAACCCCTACATGATTTTCACATCGCTGGTTTGTTTGCTCTGAATCTTGACCAAGTCCCCTAATGATCCACCCCGAGCCTTGCCTGTGAATTCTCATCTGCTGGCCTCCACTCTTCTGTATACAAACGTGAGCAGTTCCTACTTTCTCAACACAAAGCTTGCTTTTGCTCCTTATGTTCTACCTTGAATCTTATTTCCCTTCCGTCCCTGGATCCTAAGCTCCAAAAGTAGTCCTCATGTCCACTAGTTCTTCTTCCATTCTGTGGTTGTTCCTGACTCCTCTCTAAAACCCAAGGTTTACACTTGTGATTCTTGGTTTGCCACATTCACAAGTTTTACTAAAAACAAACAAACAAACAATTTGTCTGAAACCTAAACCAACTTCCCATGAAATCAGTAATTCTTTCTTCAGCACCATCTTTTGACACTTATCCCCTGAGCTCATTAAAGAGTTCAAAAGACCACTCATGACTCCTTCTTAACTCCCTTCCTGTACATTCTCATACTCAAATTTCTGCCTCTAATTTCATCAATATTTTTCCTTACACCATCAATAGACTGACAGCCTTCACACAGTATACTGCCATCACCAGGCCATTCATTTCATCATCTACAATAGTCTGATTTCATTGTGTGTTATCAGTCATTCCTTATGCTGCCCAACATAAAGCCAAGATTCCAATCAAAATAGCTTCTTAACTTTTCTCTGATTATATCCGGGTGTTTTCATCTCTAAAATGCCTGAATTGCCATCTCTCCTAAACAAATACTTCCAAGAACAACTCCAATCTTTATTTCAATGAGTCCTTTCTAGGCCACCCTAGGCCAGCTGTCCCCTTTTGTCAGTATCTTTTCCAAAGTATTCAATATAAACCACATGACAGTCTTAGCCCTTACTTTGAAAAAGATAGCTAATGCCTCAACATATTAAGTGCTTAAAGCATCCCATTTCTTCACCTATACATAAATATACATAATAAATTGTGATTTTTT